ACTGTGGTGTACTATAGTTAGATGGTGAGTACTGCAAAAATCAGGCAGTGTTTGAAAGATCTCTTATGGATAGAAGTACATAATTCTTACTATTTGTCATAACCTCAAAATCAGCTTTATTATTAGATTTTATGTGATCATAAAAACATTGTAAATCTGTATTTTTAAGTAAAAAAAAAAAGAATAAAATTCCTCATAAGTAAAAACTAATATTCATTGTTAACAGCTATATTTAACAATAAAGATTCTCCCCAGCAGCTTCACTGTATTTATTAATTTGTAATGCTGAATATTTGTCTTTCATAACCTAACTTGAGATTGTCATGCTCCAGTGTGTCCTTAAGGCAATATCTTTCCTGCACCTACCATTAAAGTCAGTTACAGAAGTTACCCAAACAGCTGCTCCTTTTCTAAGACAGAATAATACTGCTCCTCTTTTCTCTCTATTCATCTCTGTCGTTCCTGCAACTGGGCAGTAAGGCATCACGCAGTGATGCAGTGGATTAAGTAATTCTTCTTATGGGTTCTAGATCAGTATTTCTATTGTATACCACTGTGAAGGCACCCTTGTTTTCTCAACGTTGCAAGCATCAAGATGCACTGATGAAATTTTATACTATATAATGAAAAATATTTTTTCAAAAATCAAAGTAATGAAAGACAAAATATTCTCATACACTTTGTGAGACAGCCTGTAAGAACTGAAAACTAACTGTGTACAAGGGAATGAAACCACACACCAGTAAGGCTTTAACTTCCTACCATCTCTACCTCCCATACTATAAGAATTGTTCACTTTATGAGTATCACTGAAGTTCCCATCTGGTGTTTCAGAAGTGAATGGAGAGGACTAACAAGACAAAGCTGATGTAATCACAAAAATCTTGTTTTTCTTAAAACAATAGATGTTAAATATCTGTTCAAAGCTCATCAGATACTTAAAATTTTCCCTTTGAACATTTTAATTTCAGTAGCCAATTGGCTTAATAAATTAAACTGATTTAATACAGAGGGTAGAATACAAGAGTGTAAGACAGCAAACGTGAAGCAGTGCTTTAGGCATGGATAGGAAACAGTGAAGAACAGCAGGGACTGTAGAGGGACAGAGGTGGACTCAATCAGAATGGCAGCATCATTCCAAGCACAGCTGTTGAGGCTACATTCCCGGGAACCCCAGAGACCCACGCTAGTACACGGATACCAGAAGCAATTCTCACAAGAATGGGAACAGAAAACAAGCTTCCCAGCTGCTCTTGGAAGGAGGTAATGTATTCAGCGTACCCACACCCCCAAGACACAGCTGGGCACAACACAGAGAACCAAGGCACAAAGGCAGTCAACTCTCACATAGAAGTTCTTGCCCTCAGAAAAGAAACACAGTCCACAGCAATAGTAGTATTTTCCCTAGTCTCTCTTTCACACACCCCCTCCAAATCAATAGTCCTAAACTTGCCATTAAACATAATTAAATCCAAGCATCAAGTAGCTTTCATACCAGTCAGGTACTTTCCAACAAGGTAGACTAACTCCAAGTTTCTGGAGTGGCTTTAAACAATTGTACTATTTTTATTATTTAGGTAACTGATGTGCTCTTCTAGGGGTTGTCTTCATGCAAATTTATTTTAGAATGCTTTTACTTTAAAAGGACTATTATATTTCAAGTGGCTTAAACAGAGGAGTGAAAAGGGGGAAAAATAACAATTCAGAGTCTCCTGTCTAGAAACGCATAGGAAAGCAGAGTCTTGTTTAACTATAGCACCCTAATACAAGCCCTATTCTCTAACCTTCTCTCAGCTTTCAATTCCTTACTTTCCTGTCCCAAAGCTATCAGAGTTTCATAACCCAGAGTCCCCAAACACTCCCCTCTCAAGTCCTTCCCGCTTTCAAACCATACCAAGTCTTTAACTTCTCACTTCTCTCCAGCTGTTTACTAAATCCTCTCCTACACGTTTCTATCTTCCCCCCTTCCTGGTTCAGACCAAATCCTTGTCTGCCCAAATCTATAACCACATAATGCTCCCAAATAGCTTCACTGATATCTAACCTTCTGCAAATCACCTTCCAAACTGTGTAATGTCTGCACTTCTATTCATTCAATCCACCTCCATACCTAGTGGCTCAGTGACAGGTGTCCTGGTTCCAGGTCCCACAACAACAAGCCCAATCCTTGCTTGGCTCCTCCCAAGCAGTTTTGCCCGTACAGGCACTTGCTGCCATACTATTATGCTTTTATTGTATCCTGAAACCTCTTGTCACCCTTCACTGTCACGGCAGCCTTGTCTTCCCACAGAAGTAAAACCCTTAGTCCTTGTTGCAAGATAGGCTTTAAAAGCCAGGCTGGATCAGAAGAACAATTAGAATGACTCTTAGATGGCAGAAGAGTAGAATGTGTCCGGGGGCAGGAAAAAAACCCAAAAAACAAACCCAAAACCCACAAGTTTAGCTGTGTTCCTTTGGGCCTTGCAGTTACAAACAAAAACCAAAAAAACCCAAAACCCACAAGTAGTAGCCTTATGCTTTAGCTGTGTTCCTTTGGGCCTTGCAGTTACATCTAAACCTTACAAAACATCACTGTTTCAGGTGTGAGTAAAATAGTCTCAGCTATGTGCCATAAATTCAACAGTTAAGAAAGAGATTGCTTTAAAAAAAATAAATAAAAAAAAAAATCCTCAACTAAACCATCCAAATTTTCATACTAAGTAAGCTTCAGATTTCATCTCCCCAAAGGGATTATTGCAGAAACATAGCCTGGAGAATCACAGTAAAGAACAGACATCTAGAATTGAATGGACACAGGCTCAGGAAGGAAATTCCTTGTCAGATAATGCTCCAGCTCTACACTTTGCATTGACCTGCAAATCCCTTTCTATGTGGATCTTTTTCATGATGACAGAAGATCACTAAGACACAACCCAACCCATGTTTCTATATTTCACTACAGAAGCAAAGCTTGTACAAACACTGTGTAGCCAAATACAAAATATATCAAAATCACTCAGAAAAATTCACATTACCGCCTAGGAGCTGAAGTCTTTTTTCTTTGCTTGTCACAGAGAAGGGAATTAGCACCTTCATTTTCCGTCTATACATTTCCCACCTTTTCTGTGGGAAACTATCTTGGGAGAGCCCAGAAGCAAAAAGCAATGCAGACACATTTACCACAACCAACACATTTCCAGAGCTACCACTGCACTTCACAGTCACTTTCAGGCTTGAGTATACTTACACCGATTGACCAACTGGTGGCTAAACAGGTTTCTGCCTCCATCATCTACAGTTACCAGAGCATGCTCCTTTGTCACCCAACACAGCTGTGCTCAGGAAGCTACACAGCCCTTCCCATGTAGATCTTTGTAAATTCCTCTCTGGATTCCCCCTTCTATACTTCCTACATTAACTAGCAGTAACTAGCTATGATAGGAACACAGAAGTGTAAAAATTATCTAGTAGTAGTCAAGAGACAACTTGGGTTCTTCAGAGAAACCTAAGAAATCACAGCAGTTGGAGCCAAGCAGGAAATTAGTGGTTTTAGGGAGAAAGTCTATGAATTTGAAAAATTATTTTCTGAAAAGACTGAAATAAATAGATGCATTTCAATTTTTTCCCAAATATTTGTCTAGATACTAATTTTTATCTGAAGAGGCAGTTTCCATCATATATTAGAGCTTTGAACAAATCAGAATTTCCTGAATGGAAACATTTCACTATCAAATTTTTTTGAACAGTTTTACTGACAAAGTTTAGCTTAAAAAAAGCTGAATTCTAATTTCATTAAGAGAACCAGACTGACAGCTCTGAATACTAGTGGACAAGCAAACAACCTTCTTCTGATGTTCCCCATACCACTTCAGGCTTTGAAAGATGAAGTTCTCTAAATAGGGTCTGGCTTGACACAAGATCAGGCCGCAGTATCACTGGTATATTCAGTAATTACATTCTCTGCTAAGTCCATCAAGAAGAAGGGGCTTTGTTTTTGTGACTTATCCTTTAAAGTTTAAGACCTATCTGCAAAGACCGGAGTGCCTGTGTTAGTTTTGGAACTGCCCAGACTGAATCAAAACCTTGAACTAGATGTAGAAGGGTCTAAACATCTATTCAGCTTTCCAGAGTTACAAATGCACCCCAACTTTTGAAAAAGACATATTGCCAATCATCTAACCAGATATTAAAAATCAAAACATATAACAATAAAATTGAAAGAAGAAAAAGAAGCAACTAGCAGCAGCTATTTCAACTATTAAATATGCCTATTTAATATCACTATTAAAACAATAGTTCCAAAATCAAAGTATCAGAAGATATTTAAACTATTTTTCCCTAGCAAGTAAAGAGGGGAAAAATTAATTTCCAAGGCAAAGTGCCTATCCTGGAGAACCTCCAGCTGGCAGTTTAATTAACTGAGAAGTGTCCAACTTGAACACCTTTGATGAACTATAGCATATTATAAAGACAAAAAAAGACTACATGTGTAGCCATTTAGGCCATAATTGAAAAAGAAATATGAAACTAAGTGAAATTCTATCAGTGATCCATACCACCACACTTAGCAAAAGATCTTCACATCCCATGCTAGTAAGTACTTCATTACATCTTTACAATGTTACTGGAATACAGAATTTACATGAGAACCCATTCTGCAGACTTCCATTCCCAGTGCTGTGAGAACACACTGGAAGAATGAGGAAGCAAATCACATGCAAGCACAAATCTGAGAAGACTTGGGTTTATTGTTTAGTAAGACCAAAGGTGGATTTGGGTTTTTATGAATTTTTTAATCCTCTGCCCAGTCTTGCTTTCTTCTATAAAAGGATTTTAGCAACCTTCTTGTCATCTCACAGAAAAATCAAAATTCTGATCACTTTAAAACAACAATATGACAGAAATCGATTTTCATGAGGTTTACTCATTCCAGTATGTCTCAGCCCAGCCCAGTGCCAACACAGAAGCCTGTGACAGATTTTTCTGTTGTCACAGGGACTCGAGCTTTACTGCTTACATACCTGCTGTGTAAGGAGACTCATGTGGCTTGGTGGGGAATACTGACAGGCTGCTTGCTTTTCTGCCAGCTGTTGCAGTTCTGCTGCTACCATACTGGGGCTATAATGTTTGCCCCGGGAAGAAGCATCTTCTGCATCTTTGTGCATCCTGGCTGAGCCCCCATGCTGCCCACTTGGACTGCGGTGGCACAAACCTACCAAACAAACATTTGGATACGCTTAGTATGTCAGACTCCCTCAGCCTGCTGACCACAGAGATACAAAAACAGGTATGATACTTTCTGCAGATTCTAAGGAGAATACAGTCTTCTATTCTGCACAGGTGTTGTCTATATGAGCTTTTGTCAATTCTAAACCTGTATTCTCTTCATCATAACGTAACCAGTGGCATCCAATTCCAGAGAATATTGGCTGCTCTTACCTAAGTTAAATCTATAATGTTTTTTTCTTAAAAACAAATGTATCCCTTTGAATAAGCTACTCAGTTGGGAAGTCAGATTTATTCTAATGCTAGAAAGACTGTCAATATATATACAGCAACCCTAGTGAACATACGCTGACCCTAATGTACAACCTAAAGCAAATGTATGCCATCATTAAAAAAAAATATATATACATATATAATCAGGACACACAGCTGTGTGTGGTTCCCAAAACTCTCCTAAAAGATTACAGTCTACATAAATTCCTACAGTTTCTTCAGATTCCTTACACTCTAAGTTGTGTTGCTCCACTATGTTCTAACACAGAACAGTAAATGAGAGGTCTCTAGATCTTGTTTTTAAGATGGTCTTGGATAAGGCAGTGCTGAAAGGTCCTAGAGAATGAGATACAGCAATGACTCATCCAGATCCTTCTTTTTTGGAGGTCTTGACACACCTTTAAGTATTCAACAATTATGAGGTTTCATTAAAGGATTTCTCTGCATGATAGAGAAACACAGAACTAAGAACAGCATATAGACTGAGACAGGACTTCTGCTAACCAAAACTACATTAAAATCACTAAAGCTAAAATAAGAGATCAGTAATACAATCAAGCAAAAACATATAATACTTAATTTCCCAGCTCTCTCTTAGTAAGTTAAAAGGCTGAGTTCAAATTTCAAGACTGAGGAGAGACCTTATCACTCTTTACAACTACTTGAAAGGAAGCTGTAGCCAGGTGAGTGTTGGCCTCCCAAGTAATAAGTTATAGGAGAAGAGGAAGTGACCTAGAGATGTGCCAGGGGAGGTTTAGATTAGAAATTAGGAAAAAACTATTCACCAAAAGGTCTGTCAAGCATTGAAACAGGCTACCCAGGGAAGTGGCTGAGTTAAATACTTCCCTGAAAGTATGTAAAAGACATGTAGATGGGGCACTTAGAGACATGGTTTAGTGGTAGACTTCTCAGCATTAGGTTAACAGTTGGACTTGATGATCTTAAGGTTTCCAACTTAAATGAGTCCATGATTCAGTGTTGAACTGCTCAATAAAAGGGCATCTTTGGCAAACAAGGGCTGCTTTCTGCACTCCTCCTTTCCATGAGAAATTTAGCACCATTCAACAAGACTCATAATTCTGGAAATGTAAAATTTCTACCTACTCCAGAACAGAGATTACACAATCTCTATACTGAACTAGCAGGTTATTATGCATCCCAGAACACTCACCTACTTTTGCAGAGGATGGTCGGGATAATCTTTGGCTGTAGATCTGAGCAGCTCTCTGAAAAGATGAGAATGGGCCAATGGTGTAGCTACCAGAATGACGACGTAACTCTGCAAGGCTAGAAGCCTCACTGGACACTGGGTATGTGAAGACAGAAGAGCTGTCAGGAGCTGTGCTCTGCGAGGAGGGTAGTAGGGATGGGGACTGAATCAGCTTGGGACCAACTGAAGGAGCCGGCAATGAATGATGACCAGGCATCTGTGAATTTTCAGAGGCTGCAGGCTGAGATGGTATCCAGGAACTGGTACTTCTCTGGAACACGGCACCAGAAACGGGGGAAGAAGCACTAGGAGGGCCACACTGACGTAATTTCTCTTCAGTATTTAAGGAGAAGGTGGGTCCTTCTGGAACTACACAAAGATAATAAGGACACTACATGAGGAAAAGCTGCTTTTCAGGTCCTTCAGATAATATCAACATACCAAAGATCCCTCTACTCGGACACACTGAAGACAAAATAACCTTACCTACCAGCAAAGAAGAGGGCCTACATGATGAATATCCTCTTTCAAAGCTTGCCGTATCTTCCCCCACAGAAGAGCAGCTAACTCTTACTGCTCAATTCCCCAAAATTTGGCATATGAATCTCTCAGTTCTCACCTTTGTTTAAAACAGTATTAAAAACAGTATGCTCAATTCCCCAAAATTGGGCATATGAATCTCTCAGTTCTAACCTTTGTTTAAAACAGTATTAAAAACAGTATATACATTCTTTTTTTTTTTTCTTTATGATGATTTAAGCCAGTTCACTTACAGGTTGATTTAACTTCTTTGGGTTTATAGCCTTTTAATGCTCCTTCTGCAGGCAGATCTGCAACTGAACTTTTGGGTTGATCATCTTTAATTTTTGTCACCACCTCAGGATGCTCTATAACAAAATCAAGGAGTTAGGAAGTAGAGCAATGCAAACTGTGATACTGTTAGAACAGGACTGCATAATTTAAACCTTGTTACAATGGACTTCATTGCTAATATTTACTGTAGACCATGCAACTCTACTGATCACGACTGTGCTGTCACGTACAGCAGCACAGACTACTGGATGTGTATGGCTGGCACTGCACTTCCTTCCATGGAAGGCCTAATTAGGCTCAGATATACAGACTCTGTTCTCCAGTGAGTATGCTCACTGTAGGCAGCACAATTTATTAACAGGCCTTGATTTCTCTCATCCCTTACTTTGATTTTGGGATTCTCTGTTAATTTCAAATCTCTGTGCCTTCAGTTTGCATAACCTCATTTCAGTCATGAGCCACCATATCTAGTTCCTTATAAATGCTGGTCCAGATTCATCCCATTTCCCTTCAGGCAAAGGTAGGAGTTACTCTAGTCTTTACATATAGAGTCAGTTAAAAAAACCAACCAACCAAACCAAACAAACAAACAAAAAAACAAACAAACAAACAAACAAACAAACCCCAAAAAATGCAACCTCAAGATGCTAGAATAACATTCCGGAGGGGTTGTTCTCTTTCCTCAGACTGAAGTTAAACTGGATTTGTCTGGGCAGCAGCATCTCAGAACTGCCTGCAACACTTACTCTCTTGAGGCTGCTTCTCTGACTGGTTACTGGTGTTCCTGGGTATTGTGCTTGTGGAGTTTGTTCCTAGGAAGACACTTGCTGACTTGTTTTTGTGTGTGTAAAATGTCAGCACTTCCTCCAGGTCACTTTCACTACAATAAGGAGAGAAGAATAGATGTAAGTGAGGATTCTAAGCTTTTCAGTGTTCATATAACAATCAAAGACAGGAAACAATAAGGAGACTGAAGAAGGGAGTGGGGAAAAAAGGTGAGGCCAGACAAGCTAATGATTTGCTCAGTTCTGCAGGGTAAGAGCAGAAGGAAGGGAACATGCCCTGGTTAAACCCGAGTTTCCCACCGAAATACCATTTTCTTATGCAGTAGAAAATTCAAGGCGTTTAGAAGCCCTCCCAGGATAAATAAAGAGCAAGTGAAAACTCCAAACACATTTCTGGGGAGATCAGTTCAACAGGAGAGACTCAGTTCACAACTAAATTTGTGAATAGATGGGGTCCTTACCCATATAGGCATGTCATATATGGGTCAAATAAAAGACTCAAAGGCATTGGTTTTTGTGCTCAAGAAACAGACTTGAAGGATGTATTTCCAGTTCACTTAATTTCAGACCTCTCCACAGTCAGATAGCTATAATGGCATTGTTCTTCATACAAGGCTACAGGCCACAAAGAGTATTTACCATTTTAAAGTATGTTTCCTACCATATTCTTGTGAGTTTAAGGCAGATAAAGTTTGGAGCATGCACAGTTAGAAAATGCTGCTTTTTCATTGTGAAAGTAACTGCTTCCACTGAACTGCCTTAGCAAGCCAAGTAAAAGGCTTGGATGAAGACAGGGAGTCTAACTCCCTTCCTTCCTCATCTCAAGAAGTCCAGACCTGGAGAGTTCCTAATGAGAGGAAGCAAGCATGAGATTTGTATCTGAGAGTAGAAAACTGAGAGCCAGGCAGAGCCACAGCTGTTCAACCACAGCAGCTCAAGGCCATCTGAGCAGCAGCTCTAGCTTAATTCTCCTTCCAAAGTGCTGCTACATTTGCTCCAGCATCACAAGAATGGAGACCATTAGCTCACCGGCATCAGTTTGAAATTTACATAGACCAGGGCAACCAGTCCTTTGGGGATCTCCTCAATGGTCAAAACATCTATTGCATCTCCTTCTCTATGCACCAGATGCTGATGCTACAAGTGTTCGGCTGCTGGAAGGGAGAAAAGACAAGTTCTCTGTCCCCCAGCAGGTGCTACAGTCAATAAAGATATCTAGATGCAATTAGATGAATCAGATCATCTTTCTAACAATCCCATCACCTCCAAGACTGTGAGATCCTTTATCAAAGGGAATAAAATGCATTCCTACCTTGCTCTGCTAATAAAGTTCTGAAAACCTTCAGGATTCACTCCCTCCTCCTCCTCTTCCTGTTTCCTTTTTGATCGCTTCTGAACCATCTGCTCTGTTTCCTGTTAATAAGTAGTATCAGTAAATGTCTCAAGTGTAGTTACTTTATGATCCATGGCATAGCTACAGCTCAGAGAAGACAAAAAACAATTCCACAGGATCTAAGAAAAAAGGACATCAACTCCAAAGAGTCAAATTATTTCACTATGTGCAACAGAATGGATAGAGAGCTCCAGAGAGAGCATGCTAAGCATACACCAAACTCCTAATTCCTCCACCTGACAGAACTTGTTAGAATTGATTTGCTGAGAAGAGGCCAAGTCTTCACAAATATGTGCTGCTCCTTCAAATATACACTTTGCTGGGACATAAGGAAGTATGGAGAAGAACTTTTTAAAAATAATAATGAAAAAAACCACACTCTTTAGAGCTATTAGGTCCCCTTTCTACTTTTACTGTTTCCGTCACAAATACAGAGTTCCTCGAAATAACTTTTATTTTAGAATCTGTCCCAAAAGGAGATACTCAGGAAGAAAGGCAGACAAAAATACCAAGTTATATTAAAGAAACTCAATCAAGGAGGTCTGCTGAGGGCATCCATATTTTCTACTGCAAACCAGGAGTTCTCCTCTTGAGTTAATTTCTCTTGTCATGCAGCAAATTGCTGAGGGCTTATCTGCATACCAAAAATATACTGCTTTAGCAAAAGCAAGGAAAGTAAAACAGTACAGCCTGTGGCAAATATGCATTTATACACTAAAATATACTGGAATAAAAGATGGTAAAGCCTTTATGTACGAGAATGGGCGCAAGCTCTCAGATATAAATGATCTATTTCACACCAGTAGAACTTGTTGACATGATGAGAGGTTGTATTGATACAAACATTTTTGTTAATCAAAAACAGGCCTGTCTGAAATACCAATACCAGCATACAAGCTTTATCTGACCAGACTTGACCTCCACTTCATTGCATCCTACTGGTACTCTGAGCATTCCCAGGATGAAAAGGTCAGATACATCTTTTGAAAGATAAGGCAAGAGCGGGAAGAAAAAGCCACTGAGACATGCCTCTACCCTTCATTACTTAAGTAAAAGTCTGAGCAATATGCGATCTGTTTTACTTAATTTGCTGGCAGTAGTATTTTTTCCTTCTGTGTCATTACAGAAGATACATAATGGCTAGTAAGAATCCCCTACTAAACCTTAAGTTACAAGTCAGTGAAAGAAGTCTGTATGTTGGAATCAGACATCAAAAATCCTCATAGCCTAAGAGTCTCTCAGTGGCTTAAATGTGTACATCCTAAAACATCAAGCCATCCATTCTCACTTGTTTTAAGTGAGAAAATATGCTTATGCACTGATTTATTACCAGTTACACAGCTTAATTTTGTGAGTTAGCAGAAAATCCTAGTGTTTGAATACAATTTGAGTGGAAATTATATCCAAAGCAGCTGCTTTCTTCACTCACCACAGAGTCACCTGAGTGTTTTGTGGTTACTCCTAACACAGTAATTCAGTGAGCTTTAGGCATACAAGGCACTCCCTGGAACAGACTTGCTTCAATACCAGTCTTGCTTTGACAGATCAAGTTACCAGATGTCAGATCTGACAAGGTAAAGTAAGCGAACATCCTCTGCTAACAAGTAGGAGCTTGGAGGCCCACATGCACAGAAGCCTTTTAAAGCAAAATTTAAACTACCCTTGTTCTAACACTAAAGAAATGCTACGGGGCAAAGGAAAGGGGAAGCTGTTCTTGCAAAACAGGGATTAGCATGAAAGCACTATGCTAAGAACAGCATCTTCTACATCCCTACATATGAAGAGATGAAAATTATTTAAATTAGGACCTACTTCTTATCACTGGGCATAGAGTCCCATACTACAGATAGGTAACAGTCCCTCAGTATACCAAGCAAATGGTAAGTTACATATTTCATACTGTTCTGTATTAAAAAAAAAAAATAAAGAAGCATCATAAAAATAGGGAGAAATGGGAGGAGACATTACAAAGCACTAGAATCAAAGACAAGCCAAAGAAAAAGCAAACTGCCAATTAAATTCCACTTCATTTCAACACTTCTTTTTACTTTCATGCACATGATGACTGGACTGCATATATAATGTAGTAATACTGTTGTCTATCTGACAATTTGAACAGACAAACTACCATTACGGCATGCACAACTGCAAACAGACCATGTAAATTACAGAACAGAAGATCCTTTAAAACAGCCTGCTGCTTTGACTAAGACAGCAGCCAGCAGGAGATACTTTGGAAGAGGAGAACAGAAACCAAAATTGCTACCAAAAGAAGAATTAAGACAGAATTAGTCACCTTGTTATAACAGATTATGAAATCGCCCAGCTGGTGAGCCAGGATACGACGACGATCATTCAGTCCTAAACGACGGCTGGGGAACAGCATCCTCAAGGACTGCTGAAGATTGCTGGCAGCTCGCTTCAGAAAGCGTACCACAAGCTCCTGCAAGCAAGAGAGATGGAGTTAACAATGGATCAGCTGCAAGATGTGAGGAGAATAGAGGTACTACAGCAGCTAACGACTGGCAAGAACCAAACATACTGTCCTGAGAAAATGAGCTGACAACTGGCTGGCAAAAAGCATTCTGCAATGTGTATTTTTAATATAGCCCTACAAACCCAAGGTGGGGGGAGAATAACGATGCTGTGCCTTGCCTAAGGTGGGTCAGAACTGGAAACACTTGAGAAGCATTTGTCCAAAAAGCATGGCAGATGAAGAAGAAAAAAAAAAAACAACAAACAAGCAGCAAAAAGCAGCAACAACACAGAATAACCTGTAAAGTCCAATACCTTAGGAGAACATTTCCAAAAAACAACATGCAATGTATTAAAGGCGGCCTGTGATGAAGTGGACTGGATAATCAGGTAGTGAGGTGGACTGTTAACT